CACTGTTAGTGTCTCCAATTCTCATGGGTTGTTTTATTTTCCACCCAAGATTTCAAGCAGACTAGGCTTTCCAAGGCCAAAGGGAGTTTGTTCTCATCCCCTTTTATTCAGGAGGCAGTTCTTGAAGGTTCAAGGCCTCATTTAGAAAGTTCACATGTAGGCTTTTCTTCTAGTAACTGGAGATCACTTGTCCTAAGGCCTATGTCCAGTCCAAAACCCATGGGCTACCTTCGCATTAGCTTTCTAGAATAACTCTTTATTTCTGGCATCTGGGCATTTCCCTTGTTGTTGTTTTCAATTTTGGAAATGTAGTAAATATTTTTTGGGTGTTCTATCTTATACAGTATTTCTTTGTATTTATGATGTTTACCTGGCATTATACCCAGCCAGACACTTTTTAGCAGAGAAAGTCTCAAAGTACAAGAATTTAATAGCATTGTTTTATTTTGATTATATTTAATTTGTATGCATATTTTTAGGCAAGTGATTCGTATTTCCATAAATATTAGTGATACAAGCATTCCTTTCAAAATAAATCTATTTAGCTAAAAAAAAGTCAACTTAAAGAAAAATATTAAATTTGCAAGTGCTAGATGGCTATGATAAAACCATAGAGGTGATATATTAATATTCATGTTTATGGAATAACTTAAGAGTATTTGATGCCCTTCCTAGCTTTTGTCACCATTTTTTTTAAAAAATGTGCTTTCATGCTTTAGCAACACAGACAAGAAGATGTGTACCATCAACATGACCCTACCTAGCCAGTGATGGCGAACCTATGACACGTGGGTCAGAGGTGACACGCGAACTCATTTTTTTGGTTGATTTTTCTTTGTTAAATGGCATTTAAATATATAAAATAAATATCAAAAATATAAGTCTTTGTTTTACTATGGTTGCAAATATCAAAAAATTTCTATATGTGACATGGCACCAGAGTTAAGTTAGGGTTTTTCAAAATGCTGACACACTGAGCTCAAAAGGTTCGCCATCACTGCCCTAGGCTGAGAATGTGGGAAATAGGTTACCCAGGTTAAGATAACAGTATGAATCAGATATTCCCTTTAAAACAAGTGGTAAAGATTAAGAGGTGGTAACAAAGAAACCCAACATCTCAGGAAAAAAACACACAAAAAAATTCCTTTCTTGTTCACATAGTCGGGGGCCTCAGCGCCTCACAGTAACTGGGCTACAGCCTGTCAGAGCCACTCTGTGGCCACCAAGGCACTTGCTCCTAATTCTTCTGACTAGAACTGATACCTGCCACTCCCTTCCTCATTTCATTTGTCAAAGCAACTCATGTGGTCACCCTAATTTCATAGGAGAGCAGGAAAGTACAATATTACCATGTACCCAAAGGCCGAGACCCAGAAATAGTTGGTGAAATAATTGGTTCCTAATGGTTTAGAAACCATTCAGTCAACAACAGTTCTGGATCCATCCTCTAGATGGAGACCTGGAGCTGAGCATCTGTTTGGGAGGTCAGCCCTAGTAGAGTCACACTAGTGTGTTTACAACTCCCTCAGCCGCTTCCTTAGCTAGCTCCAGTCTGTACACGGAAAACCCCAAAGTAAGTAGTTGCTATGGCTTATAAGGAAGAACATCCCTTCACACTGGACTGATTTGTTTCCTAACTGACCCCAAGAGGCTTCCATTACCAATTGTAAACTTCCATTGTGTTCAATCACCAAGTACTCTGTTTGACCAGTTCGTTTCTACAAATATTTATGGACCTGATGTGCGAATGTGGTTGAAGTATTTACGATCCGTGCAGCTTGGGTTCAGCTTTCCCTCTCTGTCCCCGGGGTTTCCTAAAATGTCTGCAATACCCACAGGTTTGTGAGAGTGCCTCTGCTCTGATCACCCCCTGAGCACAGCCTTCAGCGTTGACCTTCCCCCACATAGGCCACATCTGGCTTTCTAGCACCTTCTTGACAGGGTCTCTGCTCTGTGTTACAAAGAAATATTGAGAGACAAGAGTTCTACTCACTAAGGTTCAGTGGCATGTACAGGCTCTGTGGGGATCTGTGCGGTACTGAAGTTTTCCCTTACCTGGGTTAGTGCTAAAATGATAGCGACCTTCGTTATGTTTTGTCCAACCATGACACATGCTTCAGTTAAATCGCTGATCCTGCTATTATGTTAAAAATGAGGGGCGGTAAAACCTTAAATTTACTCAGTGCTTTATAATTTACAGAATACTTGCATGCGTTTTATATTCTCCACAGTCACTGTGATGTTAGGTATTTATTATCACCATTTAAAATCACAAAAATGGTCAGCTAATTTCCTCAGAGTTAATTAGCTTGTCAGTACTAACAGTGGAACTATAACCTCATATCTAGGACTCTTTCAGTTGTTTCATGATGTTGCCCATAACTTACAAACAGTAATGAAATTTAAGACTGATACTATCTATTTTAAAAACCCTTATATTTATTTTGCAGTTAAGGTCAGTACCCTTATGTACTCTGTCAGGCTGTTAGTGAGTGGTATGCTATCTTTTTTTTTTTTTAGGTTGACTCGCAGGCAGAAAATAAGGTATTTGTACATTTTGGGTATTTTAACCTTGATAATTCAGTATTTATCAGGGTTTTACTTCTAGCAGGTGCTGGAGAAATAACAGTAAAGAAGACAGACATAGTTTCTGTCTTCATGAAGTTTCAAGGCTAATGGAGAAGGCAACTATAATAGATGGCAAAAAAAACTACAACAATAATAGATAACATTTTTATTCTTTCAGTGTTATTTGCAGGTATGGCACATCCTTCTCTTATTGGTGAGCAAACTGAGTAACTTGCCATATGGCAAGTGACAGACTAAGATTTGAATCCAGCTGCTCTCAACAGCAGCCTTTTGCCACTTTATAGGTACTGCAATGCAGGGTGAATGTCAAGGAGAATACACAGAAAACTTCAGATGACAAGGATCATTGTAAAGAATTCTGAAAAGCAGCAGCAGCATGGGAAACCCAGACATCCATCCCTCTGGGTCCCAGGACTTTCAGAACTGGGGCCTAGTGCAGGCTTTTTTTTTTTTCTCACCACTTCCACCTCTACCAACAGACAGTTTGGTCTGCTGCCACCCTGTGCGATGTGTCTGTGTTTGGCACAGATTATCTTGTTCCTGCCAATACATTATTGCCTTTGACTCACACACCAATCTCTTGCTCTCTATTTTTCTGTTAGGGTGCAGGGTTCATTTTAGAGAACATACATGGTAGAAGTCACAGCAAACGTACTGAGAAAGAAACTCCCTGAGGTTGTGTTTTTGAAGGGGTCTGTGGGGTTGATGGGTAAGGACACAGGCATTTACTTCACTCTGAGGAACAGCATTAAGTTATTGGTGATAGTCAGCATTATTTTAATCCCATTGTCCCATCTCCACCACAAGAGTGAGGCTGGTCTCTTTTGTTCCTCTATATCCTCAGCACATAGTAGACACTCAATACATATTCATTGAATAAACGAAGAAGTACAGTTATCACTAGAGGTGTAGAGTTTTGTTTTCATCAGAGGGTTATTGATAATTCGGATTTTGACTTGGATCCTAGAGAGTTTGATCATCTACATAAGCAAACTCCAAATGTTTGATAGACCCAGATTGAAGTGGGGAGAAGGCTCAATAAGAGAGAAAGAGAGGGACTAAATTTAGAACTTAACAATAAGGTTTATCATGGTTAAATTTGGATTCGTGTCTACATCACAAGGATTCACCCTGGATGAGTGAAGTTATATGGGAGCCACCAAGAAGATAAATACATTATTGTGATAAATGAGGATTTACTGAATGAGGGATGGGAGATGAAAATAAGTCAAGAGGAATTGACTGAACAGTGTGGTCAGTTTTCTACAAGAGCATATAAATTTGTCACAATTTTCCTCAGTACTTTTCTTGTCTAATCAATGCCTAGCCCAGGGCCATTTATATGAGTACACTTGTCTTACCAAGTGGGCTCATATAAATGGCCCTGGGCTCGGCATTGATTAGAGAGAAGAGACGGTAACTCATGACTGGAACCATCTTCACCAATATGTAATTCACAATGAATTTTTAAATTTTAAAGAATTAAAGAAAATAACATTGGTTGGTACCTTCTTAGGAATGTTAGGTACTTTACTCCATTGCTTAATCTTTTCAACAACTCATGAGGTAGGTGGTATACTAGTATCCCTATCCTATATAATAAAAGGCTAATATGCAAATCGACCAAACAGTGGAATGACTGATCATTATGACGCTCACTGAACACCAGGGAGCAGACGCTCAATGCAGGAGCTGCCCCTGGTGGTCAGTGCGCTCCCACAGGGGGAGCGCTGCTCAGCCAGAAGCTGGGCTCACGGCTGATGAGTGCAGCGGTGGTGGCGGGAGCCTCTCCCACCTCCAGCAGTGCTAAGGAGCAGTGAGCTGAGCGGTAAGGAGCAACAAGCAAGCGGGCAGTAAGGAGCGAGGGGTCCCAGACTATGAGAGGGTGCAGGCTGGGCTGAGTGCACGAACTTTGTGCACCAGGCCTCTGGTTTTACAAATAAAGAAAGTGAGACCAGCAGAGAATACTTTTCTGTGCCCGTGTTGTTTAAGGAATCTGCTCAAATTTACACAGAGGAAGAGATATATACAAAGTCAGTTCTATCTTTACTCCAAAGCACATATATTCCTTTCTTATTGAAAAATATATATTAATACCCTCTTAAGTATATTTTATTAGTGCTTTGCTTTTCCTGTTTCTGAGTGTTTTACTTGGGATGTGTTTACTTATATGAGCTGGTAGGAGGAGTGACAGGCCACATGCATAGAGTGACACTGGTGTCCATGGTTCTCATTCACAGTAACCGAGAAGGTCTTAATTTTAATTTATGGCCACTTAGCATGGATTCAGTACACGTACTTGATTCATTCCACGTGAATTAAAAATGTTATCCTGGAATCTCGGGGTTTTTCTTTCAAAGAAAAGTAAACCACACACAACTTTGAACACTCTTTGCTTTGCTGTCTTTCAGACCACTGCCAGAGGATGTAGGAATGGACATCCCCTTTGAGCAGGGAATGTTGAGTCCCGGTGCTGCAGACATGAGGCCTGGTGAGAGGAGCATTTGTTTATTTCCTTCAGCGCTATTCTATATTCAAACATTTTCATTATTCAGTGAGAGAACACTTCCTATGCCTCCAACTTGTGAAGAAAGGGGGAAAAATATGTGTGAAGAAGGTGTTAGGCTCAGTTTGGTTAATTTCAGGGTTGACTTGAATATTGATGCTCACAAGTGTGGGCCACCTTTTATAGTCTGAGCCATGGCCTTATCTGGCAATGTTTCCACTTCCTGTGATAACTGGCTACTGTATAGCATAACAGCAATTTCTAACTAACATCGAAGTTCACCAACTTTATACTTAAGTGTGAGAATGTTTAAAATTAGAAATGTGATATCAAGTAACCTGGTTATTAAAAAGAAAGAAAGAGAATGAAACCCTATACTCTAAGAGTGTACAACCCAAGGCATATTGAAAAAGGAAGTTAAAATTTTATTTTGGACACTTCTTTGAACTGTACCAGCTTCGGGATCATACCAAGATCCTGAATCCTGACCTTATCCGCCAAGCCTGAAATGGAGTAGGAAGAAGGGACTCAATTTTTTTTTTTTTTTTTGTCTAAGCATTTAAGTACATTCTTCAGAATACTAGTCATGTGACTTTTTTTTATTGTTAACAATTTTACAGATGATCCAATTCTCCCCTCCCCTCTTTGCTCCATCCATCCAACCCACACCTCCCCCCAGACCTTTACCACACTATTGTCTGTGTCCATGGCCTATGCATATGTGGCTATTTAAATTAATTAAAGTTAAAATAAATGGGAGAAGTTCAGTTCTTCAGTTACACTAGGTTTATTTCAATTCCTTAACATTTCTATCATTACAAAGATTTCTTCTGGATAGTACTGCTCTGAGAATTTCTATAATATAGAAATCCATTGTTTTTCAAACTTATTGGTAACTAGAAATTTTTTCAAATAATAAAAACATTACACGGGACATAGTTTGGGTGATGTTCTATACAGAACATCTTATGGCAAAAAAACGGTGTAAACTTCCTTATGAAAAGACCAGATTTGAATTCCAGAATTGAGAGGTATACCAGATGGCCTTCAGAATACTTTGTGAAAGAGAATCCTGAAATTCTATTTTTAGGAATATTTAATTAGGGTCAACCTGATTAAAAATTACTTCTCCAGTTCTTCTTCTGAGTGAATGACACATTAGTGGCAAGATATACATATTACAATTAAAATGTAGAAGCTACTTCCAGGAGCCTTAACATAAGACCATCCCTTAAGGTATGGGAACCAATGACAAACAATATTGGCATAAGAGGTAATGTAATGACTCCTTAATAAAAAAAAAAATGTAATCTGGGAGGATACCTCAGTTTTATTAAAAAGAAAGAAAGAAAGAATGCCAGCCAAAGAAATACCACTGCACATCACCCGCAGAGTTGTCAGAAGCTGAAGAAAAGTATTTGAGGACTATCTGTGAACATAGCAGATAAAGTTCTTACCCTCCATTCCATAGGATTAGTCTGCATGAACCATGATCAGTTATATGTAAGCTTAACTGTCTTTCTTATACAACACACACCGTAAAATTAAATTTAATATTATATCAGTTTTCAGTTCTGAAATCTGAGCAGGACAGTTCTGAAAACTAGTTTTCTGCCAATTTAGCAATGGCCCCCACTTCCTATTTCTACAGGGCCAGGGCTGATGAGGCTGGGACAAGCCAGCACTGAGGCCACTGGTCAAAAAGGGGGTTCTAAATCCCAGAGAAGAATTTTTTTAAGCAGGTCTACCTTCGCTAAAAAGGTTTTAAAAGTGTTTTTCCACTGGGTTCCACGCCCACTCTTGGCAGTCATGTATATGGTCTAATACCTGATATTTTTATTTTGTTTCTTCTTTAGAACCACCCAATTCACTGGATCTTAATGACACTCATCCTCAGAGAATCAAGCTCACAGCCCCAAATATCAATCTTTCTCTGGACCAGAGTGAAGGGTCTGTTCTCTCAGATGATAACCTGGACAGTCCAGATGAAATCGATATCAATGTGGATGAACTCGACACCCCTGACGAAGCGGATTCTTTTGAGTACACTGGGCATGGTAAGTTGCCAAGTTGGCAAGGCCAACATTTTGTGAAAAGTGAAATATTATCTAAGTGGCATTAATAACACACCTCCCATTTTGTTGCTGGTGACTCTTTTCTGTGATTTCTGGAAGCTTCTATTTGTATCTCAGCTCATAGGTGGCTGTGATTGACAGTTTAGAGCTTGACAAAGGTCACGCATAGCCATTGCTCTTTTGTTAAACCCCTACTCTTCCAGAGCCTATGCTAGGCATTGGGATTGAGGAAAGGCTGTTACATGCTGTATTGTAAGAAAATTGGGACTGGGTTTGCAGAGAAAAAGAATTTAATCTGGAAGATAAAATTTGAATTAGAGAATTACCAATTTCTCTGTACAAGCTTCCACTGTCTGAAATGTTCTTCTCCCAGATTCTTACATGGCTGTTCCCTTCTCTTTATTCAGATCCCCACCCCCCACCATCCAGTCACTCTCTATCCTAGTGCTCATTTTATTTTCCGTATCACTAATTGAAATCGTGATATTTAACTAATTGTTTGCATGTTTATTGTCTTTCAGTGGTTCTCAATCTGTGGGTCGCAACCCTTTTACAGGGGTCGCCCAAGACCATCGGAAAACACATATATAATTACATATTGTTTTTGTGATTAATCACTATGCTTTAATTATGTTCAATTTGTAACAATGAAATTAGGGGTCACCACAACATGAGGAACTGTATTAAAGGGTCGCAGCATTAGGAAGGTTGAGAACCACTACACTAGAGTGTCCGATCCATGAGAGCAGGGAATTGATTATGTTTGTTGTTATACGGCCGATAAAGTAGGAAGGAAGGACAAATGGAGTAGGCTGTGGTGAGGCAAGAATAAAAAGGGAGAAAATAAAAAGTTGCTGCATCAAACACAGACACTCCTAATACGAATATCAGTCTCATTTTAATTCTTTCTCTTGCTCAATGATATGGGGTTTGTTATGGAATCTGATGAACAAAATAAACTAACAAACAAAATAGAAACAGACTCTTAGGTATAGAGAACAGACTGACAGCTGTCAGAAGGGAAAGGGGTTGGGAGGCTGAGTGAAAGAGGTGAAGGGATTAAGCAAAAACAAAACAAAACAAAAAACTCTCATAGACACAGACAACAGTATGATGATTAGCAGAGGGAAAGGAGGGTGGGGGAAAGTAGAAGAGGTCAAGAGTATGTTTCTACTTTGTTAGTTTTTATAAATTCAATTAAAATAGATAAATAAATAAAATACCTTTGCTTTTTAAAAAATTTGAAATACTATTACTAAATGATGCTCTGACTTTTATAGTCATGTTAATTCCAGCAGTGTCATTCCTAGGGGAACATAATTAGGAAATTCATCAAATTAGTGAATTAATTCAACTAATGGTCATTGAGCCACCAGGGGCTACAAGGTTGACCAGCACAGATTGAGTTCTTGGCATCACAGAGCGGAAGGCTTTATCTCCTCAAGCTAATAATAAAAAGAAATAAAAAATTAAAAAAGGACGTGGGTTAACTACTAGTTCCATAGTTTATGCTGTTTTAAGTAGTGACTTTATATTGCATTTTTGCCATGCTTTTGAATTTCTATAATCATCTGGGCATTTGACCCTATAGGTTGAAATACACAAATAAGAAAAAAGAGGCCAAAGAAAGGCTTCCATTCATACTATTTTCTACCATCTCAGAGGCTTTCCCCCAGCTACTCCATCCATCCCAGCGACCCCCAGCTGCCCCGGCCCTTTTCCTGCTAAGATATTCTCACATGTGTGAATCATGTCTTGATTTACAATCCCACAGAAGACAGCTGTGGCATGACCCTGCAGGCTCCCCCCACCCCGCCCCCTGCACTTTCCTGTTGCCCCGGGGAGCTATATCACACCACATCTGAAGCTTTTATTTTTATAAATAGTCAAACTGCCAAGCAAAGTGGTAGTGGCTGAACACACTGGTAATTAAAGCTGCCACTTGCTGACATAGTTCTTTTTAGCCAATACAGTTATGCTGAGAGAACCAGCTTAACAGCCACAACCCTACTTTTAGGTCTTAAATTCAAAGGACAGAATTTGAATATAACTTGAATGTTAAAGTCCACCCTGATTGTCAGATGAAAGATGAATGTTTAGACACTTTTAAACAAAAACATCAGACACTGAAAACACAAAGTCTATCTGAATAGCTGTATTTTATAAACATGTAGACATGGATAGCTGACTGTGTTGAAAGGGATGGAATACATTTCAGTCCCAAATTATGAAATCAGTGCTTGAAAGCTGCATGTGCTTTGGGTTTCTTGTGTGAGCATTTGAAACTGGGCATATACATTCTAAACAAAATTGGAGTTTTTAAGGCACAGTATTCCAAAAGTATTTGGTCAGTAATTTATTCTATTTAATGAACACTTTTGTAGTGCTTACTATGTACCAGGATCTGTGCTAGCTACTTTATAAACATTAACTATGTTAATCCTTATGTCAATGCTATGAATAGCTATTTCCCTATTTTAAGATGAGAACACTGAGGCACAGAGAGGTTGAGTAATTTACCTAAGGTCACACAACTAGTAAATGTTAGAGCCAGCACTTAAGCCCTGAGTTATTGTCCTTGACTCCTGGGCCATCCTGCTTCTCCATAAATATACTGACAGTGACTAGGAGAGAGTTGTCTAGGTTGGGCTCACATAGCTGAAGCCAACCCTGATAGCACCCCCTCGCATTTACTCCCCATTTTATTCAGCCATTTTCATGACTGAGGGTTCTTACTTTGCCATGTTCTTGAAGGGCATTCAAGTCATTGCCTGTTTTACACAGTATCTAATGACCAACCATTACTGCCAGTTTATTTTCCCACACCGTGATTTTGCTTAATGAAAAAACTTTGAATTTCACTATCAAAAGATGTTAAATTGGTTTTTACTTCCAAGCAGTTTTCTTTTAATAATTGTGTCCAAATAGTTGGAAAATATCATTCAAAGTACTGATATAATTAAGGTTGGGTTTCCTTTGATATTTACAAGTGCCGAAGATATGAGAAATATGTAGGTAGTGAAGGACTTAGGAGGTCAGTCTTTCTATTAAAGGAAATCTGAGTTTTCTTTTTAATGCTTCATTATACTAATCTTAAAAACTTCAATATATCCAAAGGTCAGAAAAGATGATGACCTATTTCTGTTTTCCAAACCAACTGCAAAGTTATTTTTACCATAATTCATATCTCAGCAAAGGTATTTCATAAGAGAAATGGAAAAATGATAAAGAATTTTAGCCTGAATATTTCTGATAAGAATGTTATAAAAAATACTCCTGTGCTTTTATATTTTTGTTCTTCCTAAGTGATGTTTAGTTACTGTATTTAAGCTACCTTTTCTAAAACTAACCTGTAACTAGAGTTTTCTCTGTGAATAAGGTACTCCGAATTTTTCAAATGGTCAGGGAGTCACCTCATTTAACTTCCCTGTTTGCTATCTTCCACTATTTTCACAGCCAGCAGGCAAGCAGCTTATAGAATCAAGTCCATGTTTTAACTCTGCATGTAAACGAATCAAGTGTGGAGGTTATTTTATTTTACCCACAAGCAACCTTGTGCTGTTATGGTGTGGTCTGAAAGGTTGATTTTTCTTTGTACTTTTGTATGATGAGTTTTTACATTTAAATGTATTGCTTGCCTGCTCTTTATCACCATAAAAATGTTAGAAACTTGTTTGCTGAGTACAGGATGTCTTTCCTCTAATAAGAAAAAGTTTAAACATAACATCTTTTAAGGTTATTTACATCATCAGTGCAATATCACAATAGAGAAGCTAGTCACCTTCCCTAGATGTACGTCCCCAACTGAAGGCCACAGCTGACATCATTTCTAATTAGTCCATAATGACACCAATGGTGGATTTCTTACTGTAGTCCGTATAGCGTTTAAGAGCTTGTGCACTAAATCAAGAGCTTGTGTACTAAATCATTCAAGAGCTTGTGTATTAAGTCATTTCACAAAACATGGGAGAAAATGCTCAAGTTGACACCTCCCGTGTGTACCAGGCTTAATTGACTTCAACAGTGGCCAGAGAGAAAAATTTGTTACTGAGAAAAAAGAGACAAAGAAAATCAAGCATTTCTTAGTGGAGATGGCATGATACCAAAAATGAAATCTGGAGGACCTGGGGAATAGAGAGTTAAATGAGACCTGAAAATTTTCACAATAGTGAGAAAATGATGGCTAGGGGGAGGATGGTAATTTATAGTTATAGCAGAATTGTTATTAAGATCGGGTGGATAGTGTTAATTTAAGGAAGTAAATAAAGCTAGCTTTACTTTTTACTAGCTTATATTGTGGACTTATAAAAATGAACCTTAAGAGATGTACCCCTAGCCCTTAAATAATTTCTTTTGCCCATTTATACCAGTCCTCAGAGGTGGGGAAGGAGAAGGAACCCCGGCAACTGGCCAGCTCTCACCCTCTGAAACATTAGCAATAACATTTCATAAAATGGTCCAGCCTCAAAATTTTATACTAAAATTAGTAATAGTACTCTTGTTTTCTAAAAATAAACTGTAGAAAAATGTGTGTGTGTGCGTGTGTGTGTGTGTGTGTGTGTGTGTGTACATATTCTTAAGGTAGAGGTGTCCTTTCTTATTATGATGCAACTAGAGGCCTGATGCACGAAATTTGTACGGGGGTGGGGTTCCCTCAACCCGGCCTGCACCCTCTCACAATCCGGGACCCCTTGGGGGATGTCTGACTGCCAGTTTAGGCAGTTGGACATCCCTCTCGCAATCTGGGACTGCTGGCTCCTAACCCCTCTGCCTGCCTGCCTGATCGCCCCTAACCACTCATCTGCCTGCCTGATGGCCCCTAACCACTCGCCTGCCTGCTTGCCTGATCACCCCAACCCCTCTGCCTGTCTGCCTGATCACCCCTACCCACTCGCCTGCCTGCCTGATCACCCCTAACCACCTCTGCCTGCCTGCCTGATTGCCTCTAACCACTTGCCTGCCTGCCTAATCGCCCCTAACCA